ATTCCTCAGCAACACTCGGAGAACACGTGCGTATTTACGAACAGAATTTTGTATTGTGTATTAGGTACTGAGCATATTAAAACAAGCTGTACAATCAGATCAGATAATGTGGATAGAAAAGTAAGACACTACACTCTAACCTTTTTAAGGCTATCCTGTGATTCTTCGGCACTCGATCGTATTTTGTCCTCCATGGCGATGGCACCTCCAACCGGTCGGACTGGCACCGTGTCCCTGTTTCGACTACAGCTAATTCCTCGTTGTCTTCTACGGAGGGGCATCCTTTCTGGTCGTTCAGGTCATCGAACTCATTATCATGCTTCCTTTGGAGAACTTCTTCGATCGTACCGTTTTTAGCGTTGGTGGTGGTGAAGCTAACTGATGACGGTTTACGATTTGTCGTTTTAGGCGTTCCAAACAACGTCCACCCGAACATGGTGCGAGCTGCATATGGTTCTTTCCTGCCGCCCAGTCTCTGACCCAGAACCCAGTGTTTTTCGGGCACGTCACACTCTATTAGCAAATGGACTTCGGGATAGTTGGCTTCTTTGAAACACAAGTCTCACAGATGTGGCCAGCGCGTTGCTAATTCCTTGATCGATTCCACTGCTCGCACCGGCAAGTCGGCAATGGTGGAAGCTTCCGTCACCTCTACTCGTTCACCATTATCTAGCAAAACCAACGTCACGTTTCCTTGATCGGCAGAAATCGCCTTGATGCCGTTCACCGTGCTGATCGCCAGGGAAGATGGTAGGGTTGTGACGTTGTAGTTTACGTCGAAGCGTTTGGTGATCAACGGGGTATCTAATCCGTTGTCAATAAAAGCCATCGCTTTCACTTTTCCCTGGGAATTAATATGCTCACCACCACTGGCGACTATACGATCCAGCGAACCCTACAACGGATGTACTTCAATGAGTTCATCGACTTGAGCGACCAGAAAGGTGCCCTCTGTAGAAGATAACCAGGCATTAACTATAGTCGAAACGGGGACACGCCACCAGCCCGACAGGTTTGAGGTGCCTGTAACAGTAAAGAAGACTGAAAATTCCTCTCAATTACCTTGCATTTCCTTATCTTTCTTCGCCATTCCATCGTGCATTCTTTCCGACAGTGGTTTTCATGCCGGCGAATTTTCTCTTCTGAACTTTCTATTTCACCTTTTTACGGTGAAGCATATCTATTGTATACACTTCAAGAGCTTTGCTCTTATATGTAAATGAGATTCAGTGCTTTTTCTTGTTTTATTGCAACCAAAGTTTCGACTGGACGCTCGTTGTTGAACTAACCGTTGCTTTCGGTTATATTGAACCCATTTTGGCTCTAACGCTCAAGATTATTTTGCTTGATTTGTTGAAGCGTGCAGAATTTTCTTATTGGTCCAGAATTATCCTAAAAAGTAGTTCAAATCATTCATTTTCTTATTTGCTTTTTATTACCGCAGATATCTTCTGTGAATATTTGAGACATTTTGGCTGGATATTGAATCAGGCTCACTATTAGAGGTATGACTACCTTATGTATTTGTGATTACTGAGAAAATAGTACCGTAGATTATCTTTGGATCGATTTGGTTCTTGATAATCTGGGCTACGCGTCGCTCTAAGATTTGTTTATCGCTATCCAGAAGGAGCGAAGGATCATTTGATTGAACGCATACAGACGAGGTCATTTTCGTTTCGCTCGGAACAAGAAAATCGCGTTTTGGTGGTTACAAGTGTTACCCTGAGGTGTACCTGCTTGTCCGCCGATTGCGACAGTAAACAAACACTTGGTTTTTGGGGTGCCGATAACTGGATTTCGCTTACAGAATGCAAGAGAGTATGGTGGCTTCCTTGACACCCCGTTTCCCTGCATTTGCCACGGTTCCTATAAGCGGCCGCACGATGTGAGCCCTTCTAACAAATAAAGCACGCACCATGTCTCTTGGCTGCTTCCCAATGGTCCGGAACTCCTAGTTGCCCAAATTTCTCGCACGCGGGTAACTAGTGATTCAAATGACACATGAGGCATCTGGGCGTGCCACGTTCCCCTACTGTCACATAGTTACTCGCGTTCCTAGAATTTCTCGGGATCTCGTAGGTTCCTTCTTTGGTGTGATGTCTCTCTTATCGCGTACTCATGCTG